GCGCGGTGCTAAGGCGAGAGCCACATTTTGAAAACGACCCGCCCTCAATCCGTGAACCTCTTGCACATTTTTAAGACGAGTGTGCGCGGTGCTAAGGCGGGAGCCACATATTGAAAACGACCCGCCCTCAATCCGTGAATCTCTTGCAAATGTTTAAAAAATGTGCGCGGCGCTAAGACGAGAGCCACATTTTGAAAGCGACCCGCCCGACAGGAGGGAGCTATCTATAAGGAGAAGGAATGGAGGAGGATGGAGGAAAGGAGGAGGAGGAGGAGGAGGAGGAGGAGGACGAGGAGGAGGAGGAAAAGGAGGAGGAGGAGGAGAAGGAGGAGGAGGAGGAAGAGGTGGTGGTGGTGGATGAGAAGGAGGAGGATCCCCCCTGTGCGCGGACCCCCCGGGGAGGCCACACGATTTGACCAAGTCGAGGGCACCCCAGCGGCGCATACCATTTCTGGTGCGGGCGTGTCTCCAGCGCAGCCACGGGGGCGTCTGGGGACTGGTCTTGCTGCTCCTCTTGCGACACCCGAGGGCCCCAGCACGCTTCCTGGAGCCTCCCCTGAGCTTCTCGAGCCGTGCAGCGGCCATATTCTGACTGTCTTAGCAGGGCGTGAGGAGGTGGAGGAGGAGGAGGAGGAGGAGGAGGAGGAGGAGGAGGAGGAGGAAGAGGAGGAGGAGGAGGAGGAGGAGGAGGAGGAGGAGGAGGAGGAGGAGGAGGAGGGAGGAGGAGGAGGAGGATCCACCCCTGTCCTCCTCGTTCCGCGCTCCGCCCCTCTGCATTGGCCCAAGTCCAGCCACAGGGGCAGGCCCAGGGCCAGGAGCTCGGCCGTGTGCGGGGGATCCTCCAGCGGCCGCCGTGCTCCTTTTTATGCCTACCCCTGGCGACGTGGCCAAGCCTTCAGGCCTGCCCGTCCCGGGGGCGGCCAGGAGGGGAGAGATTCCCAGGGGGGGTGGATATCATGGCGTGGGACACGATGCCTCCCCGGATGTCATGGCGCCTCTTCTTATTTCATTACTTCCCTGGCCCCCCCCAGGGCCGCGCACGTGCCGCCGGCCATGAATTGCGCCCCCCCTCTTGGACGCCCCCCTCTTGGACGCCCCCGACCGTCCCGACCCCGAGCCTCCGGGAGCAGTCCAGGGAGTTCCAGGGGCCCCACGAGCAAAAAAACGTGCGCTCCGGGGCCGACTTGGCCGACCAGTACCTGGACAGCTCGCAGAGGTACCTGCCCGTGGCCCTGAACAGGAGCAAAATCCAGGCACTCCTCCGCCAATCGGCCATACGGAAGTCGCTGCTGGCGGCGTTGCCGTGCGGGGTTGTCGCGGCTTGCTTGAAGTACGTGGACAAGAACTTGAAGTTCAACTTCCTGGAGTCAATTATGCCCGAGGATGCAACGTACTCGAGTTTTACCTTCCTGCTGGGGTTCTTTCTCTGCTTTCACACGTCCCACGCCTATCAGAGATTCTGGTATGGCGCCCAGATGATCTACGCCATCTCTGGTTCTTTCATTGATATGGCAAGCTTGTTTCTCGCGTTCACAAGATTTTCCAGCCAACCAGCGGAACGAATATCCAAGTTTAAGCACACCTTGATTCGCTTGACGAGCTTACTCTTTGCCGTTGGCCTCTCAGAAGTGACCGGACGAGGGGATGATATCTTCCGCCTTGGGGCCGTGGATCTACGTGAACTTGACGAAATTACATTGGGTCGGGTGCAACTCGCCGTCCACAGGCCACAAGTTGTGTGCCAGATGATTCAGAGCCTCGTCGTAAACCAGATTTCCTCTGGCGTGCTCAACATCCCCGCGCCCATCCTCACGCGCGCCTTCCAGGAACAGAGCAACGCTGTGATCCGGCTACACGAGTTGTGCATCTGCAGGCAGGTCCCATTTCCCTTTCCGTTCGTCATTGTCTCTGAGGTGCTGCTGATTGTTCACTGGGTTGCAACGCCGTTCTTCATGGGTTACTGGTGCCAAGGATTCGCAAGTGCTGCCGCTTACACGTCCATGGTCTCTTTCACACTTTGGACTCTGCATGGTGTCTCAATGGAACTGGACAATCCGTTCTCTTGCAGCACCAACGCTCTCGATACGCAGCTCTTGCAGCAAGAGCTCAACGAGCAGCTGGTGACTCTACTAATAGAGTCCGAGTCGGAGATTCCACCAGATCTCCAGTAGCGAGTATCGGCGGCGAGCGCAGAGGCAGGAAAGGAGCGGGGGTGGGCCTTGTCAGAAGGCCGCAGGGCCTGTCAGAAGACCTCGCGCCTTCCGAGAGTTTTTTTTTTGTATCTTCGGAGGAAGCTCTGAGCCCTTCTCAGAAGGCGCGAGGGCTTCTGAAGAGCCCCGGGGGCCCTCGGAGAAGGCCCGCCCCCCCCCCTCTCCCTTTCCCCCCCCGGGCTCGCCGAAGAGAAGTGGAAGATAGCCTCTGGGGGCATTGAACCCCGATCGCCCCCTCATCGCAGAGAGGGTCCCGATAGACCCAATCTGCACAGGAGGATACGGGTTCA